ACTTCATCTATACTCTAATAAAAAGTTTCCCAGACCAAAGAGGTCACCTTAATACCAAAAAAAAAAAAAAAAAAAATTTTATTAAAAATAACTAAATACGTACTAAAATAAAAAAATTTATCTATATTATAATAAAATTTTTATTATCATAACAAATATTTTTATCATCGTAACAAATAGTTTTGAACATTAACTAATATATAATCTATCCTATTTAACAATCTAACCTTAACTATTCTAACCAAATGATGTTGTAAACACATCTAACAAATCATCAAAATATCATCAACACGGTCTCAAAAAGATACCACCAGGATACAAACTACAGAATCACAATAATAACATATCACACAATCCCAACGAAGCATGCAAAATTTTTGACAAGTGAACTAATTCATCAAAGAACAATGCCACAAATCCACAACACATGAAACTACTATCGACAACACACCAGCATAACAAGCAAGACAAGAAAGAAAACCAACTTGAAACTTAACCTGAAACATCATACACCTCAAGAAAGTTTATAAACATCTAGAAACAAAAAAAAACTCAAAGTATCACATGAAAATACGAATGAGGTTACGAACAAAAAATAACAGAACGAAAAAAAAAAAAAAACAAATACGCACCTGAAGCAGAATTTAATACTAATAACAAATGTCAAAAGAAAAGGTGCCGAAATGGACAAAACCAACGAAGAAAAATGGACTAACCAAATGCAAGCGAACACCAATGAAAAAGCCTGAAATAGACTTAAAAAAAATAAATACAGTATTGTTAGTGCAAGAACTAAACTGTATAAAACAAACAAATATACATAGACACCCTATAATGAACAAGACTGATTCCAGTGAATTGCGACACCAACAACACCAATGACACAAAAAACCAACCTCTAGTAAAAGAGAAACACCGGACTTAACTATACCAATGATGCAAAGCACCAAAAAATGAAAAAAAACACCGAACAGGACAACACCAACAATGCAAGGCACCAACTAGTGAAAGAAGCACTAACTGGACAACACCGACAATGCAAGAAAAAGCACCAACTGACTGCAAGAAAAGACACCAGCCAACAAAAGAAGATGATGAATCTACTATCTAAAAAGAAAGAAATAAAAAAAAAAAAAAATACTAATATACAGATATATAAAAATATAACAAAAGCAAAAAAAAAAAAATCGAATAACTTATATATTTTTATATCAGCCCTGTATAACTGGTAATGATTACTGATATAATATATGTAATTTAGTAAATATATACAAGGTTATAATGATCACTGAATCAAAAAAACTTAAGTGCAAATTTTAATTTACTTTATATTCAATATTCAAGTATACCTACACACCTAAAATTTTGTATTGAAAACTTTTGCTTAGAAGTCAAACTACGATTATTATAGTAAATCTTGAGTTATTTGTGATTTTTCTATTTTCTTAGATAATTTAAAATTTTACTATGATAACCGTGTAGTTTAACTTTTAAGCAAAGTTTTCAGCACAAAATTTTAGATATATGGGTATACTTGAATATTGAATATAAAGTAAATTAAAATTTGTACTTAAGTTTTTTCGATTTGATAATCGATATAACCTTGTATACATTTATGATGTGCTAATTTAAAATTAGGTGAATAATCAAATTTGTATAATATAAAAAGAATAAATGCATATCTCGCACCCTGCAATATCGCACTTAAATATGATTGGCTAATTTTGCAAATCGTTATTTTGTAAAAAAAATAATTTTTTATTATTTTTTTTTAGATTAAAGAAATCTTATAGAAAAATCAAAAAAACGTTACTATTTTTTGCATTTATATGCAAAATTTGATGCTGAACAAGTTTACTTAGAAACTTTAAAAAGGTTAGCATAA